ATCTGACTTTCTACAGAAAGTTGTAGCGAAAACACAGACTTTGAATATTGTGTTTCTTTTTCGCATATTTAGACAGATTTCAGTTCAATGAAAGTTGTAGACTAGGAGTAGTTTTGTTTAGTTTTTTGCACCCAGTTGGATTATCGTTGCATGAAACTTCTTCAGAGGAATAAACCACTGACGACTTGATTTCGTATCGGCTTTTTATCAGGTGATACAAATTTTCTGTGGTGATTGAAGTTGAAACCTGGTCAGCAGTTGGGATGTTTAGCTCAATTGATAGAGCGCCAGGCCGGTAATCAAGAGGCCGTTGGTTTGAAATCTGCTACAACCTTGGTTCGCATTTCACCCTCAGTCATCAACCAGTATCAATGATAAAAGTATTCTACTAAATAATTGTGAATAGTAAATAGAAGGTTGTCTGTTTATGGTTTTTTCATAAGATGTTTGATCAACTGCTATTTGCCTTTGAAATCCAGTCTAATTCATCGACATATTTTTGGATTCAGACAAGGAAAAACATATCATTCGTTTCATTTAGCCTATCAGCGTTCTATGTTAACAATTTTGGTAAATCGAAACTTCAGTTTTATATCTTTTAGCATGTTTTCATTGTTGATCAAATCTGATCATGTATACAATAGACAACTCTGGAATGCTTCGTTCTAGATATTAGTTTATTTTCATGCTTTTGTATTTTTGTATTACTTTTGTGTGAATGATATTATCACTAGTCCGTAGAAGAGACAAATATAGATGATACTTCGAATTTGTTCAACGGGTTTGTTTAAGATTTCAACATACTGTTAGCATTCGACTGTGATTTTGGATTAGGCTATAATTAGAAGCATTATAGCTTTTGACAAACATACATGGAATCAACCACATGAAGTATGTAGTATGAAACTAGGAAGCTGTTTGCGATTTTTATTCACTTGCAAGGTGTTCGGAACTAATTCTTAGATACTCCATGTTATATCATATATATATATATATATATATATATATATATATATATATATATATATATATATGTAGAATGGCAGTCAACTCTCTACCTCAACTTCATCGATTTTGAAAAGGCCTTCGACAGCGTCGACCGAGAAGTAATCTGGCAGGCAGCTGCTTCAACACTATGGCTTTAGCACATAAACCTTTATCAACCTCATTCAGCAACTATATTCTGTGTGAGATGATACATGCCGATTGATTCACAATGGGAAGTTCAGTGACGCGTTCGAAGTGAAGACAGGGGACAGGAGTAAGACAAGACTGCCACCTACTTCACCGATGATCTTCCTGATTGTGGTCTACTGGACCGGACTGGATGATGCAACAGACAAGTGTGAGGAGTGAGAAGATGGGGATACGCTGGATGTACTGATGAGAAGACCCCAGAAGAAGATTTGGATTTGGCCGGCGATGATGATTTATGTCTGATGTCTTGTCGCATAAACTCGAAGATGTAGAGGCGAAAACCAAGAAGTTGGCAGAAGAGACGAGGCAGGTACATTGCATGCCAGGCGAGGCTGTTGAGTGGGATGCAAAGGGGAAACGATGAATTGGTCGTCTCTGCTTAGGGCGATATATAGGATATGATGTGAGTAAGAAGCGAATGGTTGTGGGCAGTTGTAGAGACAGGTTGAAAAGACTGGAGAGAACAGACTGCAGTGGCGGCGTGCTACTGAGCCCTTATGTCCCACTAAAAACCCAAGGGACAAATAATAGCATGTAATATATATATCGTTACGGTGTCTTTATATCTTATGGCTTTCTATAGTTTTTGATTAAACATGTTTCACATATTTACCGTTCCTCTAGTTGCCTTATCCTTCTATGTGCAGATGTAAGCGTGATCCAAATGTATTGCTGAAGAGTGACCCTGAAATTCGCGAAACCTATCTCATTTGTTCATAGTTTCAAGTTGTGGTGTTTCACACATCACAGAGTAGTAAAAATGACTACCGTTAGGTAACAAAAATGATGTCAATGATCCTAACCATGTCACTTAGCAAAAAGAAAGAAACCGTACAGACATGAGGAAACTATGCAAGTTGTTATGAAATACTTTTTCTAAACACAGTGCATCTGCCGTCCAAACATATCCACTTCAGTAAACTTCAGTACTAGTACCGATAAAAAAAATCACGTATTGTTTTCTCTGCTGAGAACACTGCTCTTCGTTTAACAGGTAGTCAAGCATCGGAACACCTAGGTGTCAAGTATTAGTTTCAGAAAAGTTTAATATACAAACCTACAACTCGACATTTTCATGACGTTGATTATTTCACTGGTTAGACGATTCTGTTGGGTGTATGCGAATATTTTGAAATGATTTTGTCTGACTTACCAATACAAAGTTGAGCAAAGTGGAGTCAAAATGGAAATCTTTTACAACACAAGGAGTAGCTAGAGATTCGTATGCTGTTCCATTAAACTACATAGGCTTTCCTGCTTATAGAACATACTTTTGCTGGTGAATGTAGTTTGAGCAATATTTACCGATAATTCTGCTATTATCTAGCGGAAAGAAGCAGCATCGTATCCTTTTTTTCTGTCCCTCCTTCTCTCTTCTTTTCTTTTATGCATCAATAGGCAGTTATGGAGATAATCAATTGTAAAACACTCCGATATGTTTTGTCTGTTCTTCTTGCCATTGGCAACTTCTGAATGGTTCAACTGCTCGAGGATTCACTTTGGACTATTTGGGACGCCTACCTGAGGTTAAAGATACCAAGTATAAGAACAGTTTATTACACCATGTATGCTGCATAGTTTTAGATCAGTTTCCTGATGGAACAGGTAAATGTTTCATATTACTTACCTTCATCATTATTATTACAATTTTTAATAACTGGCTATTCATTGAATACTTATCTAGCAAGTGAAGGCATTTCGAATGTCGATGCTTCGAAAAGATGATTTTAATAAAAACTCGTGGCGTTTATGTATTGAAATCTCCGTTAACTGGAGTTTTGGTTGGAAAATGTTCGAATGTCATGCTAGATATCACTACTACTTTATCTCTGCTTGACAAAGAAGTCAGGCAACTGCGTACACAGGTATTTATAACTTGTTACCTCGCCTAAGTCTAACCTGATTGTCTGTTTCGTGAATGTATCGGTATGTATTGCTTGCAACAACTAATCCACTATGAAGCAACCTCAAGGCACTGCATTCAAGTAAAAGTCAACCAATGAAGTAGTTGCAGCTTGGGGCGAAATATCAAGCGACTTGTCTTCACACATGCTAACAAACTCATCAAACAGCCCATCAGGTTGAACTCAGCAGATATCCATACACTGTCAATTCATTTCTTTATGAAGCTCTGATGAGGATGTCTAGCATCGTATTCAGAATTCTGCCAACCGAAAATGCATATAGAGAGAACTACCGAGTCCGAAAATCGTTATCCGAAAATATAAACATTTTCACTAGTAAAACTTTTGGTTTATTAAAACAAATTAAACCTCATCAGGAATTACATGAGTTAGCCATCAGCTTGTTAGTTTTGAACGAAGTCTGTCAATCATGTTTGATTTATGGGTCACTAAGTTACGTGATACAATACTGCAACAATATATATTTGTTTTTAGATATTAGGAGTCAGTTGGCGGGAAGCCTTTATAGTAATATATGAACTTTTGAAATCTCAGTCAGACCGACGAAATCAGCGTAGAACCTTGGACACAAGTGCATCCTTTCAGGTTCTCGCACTTCAAAGTGGTATACGAAGAACAGGTGGATAGAGTAAGAGTGGTATCAAAACAGATAAAGCAGTGTGAGATAAATGTTAGTCCAAAGATACAAGCTTTAGAAGATATCAACGAGTGAATTCGTCTGTCACTACGACCGATTTTCAGCCATGTCACCTAGAGTACACAACCACTTATACCTATCATCTCAGGAAACCTAGCCAGATAGTCTACACCTTCCCACACTGCTCAAGCCAACAGCCAGGGACTTCACCGACTGGTGCCACTCCTTGGTTTGGCCACATTGATCCCATTCCAGCATTCCCTAGCATGGCAAATGGTGTACGGATCATCTGTATCCAAGCTGAGATTTCGCCAAAAACCAGCCGGTTCGGGCTGACGCCGAAAATTTGAAGCGGTTGACACACTCCACCACTTCACTCTATCATTAAACTGGGAGTCGTTGCAGACCAGTCCTAGAGCATCATTCCCCCACGCGTTTATTAACCATGATATGCATTTTCGAGTTTTTCCACCGATGATTAAATATGACCATTTATTACACAGAAAACGGTTAATCAGTTTCAAAGCAGTTTTCGTGACCGGTAAGCATTAGCTTGGGAAACACTAAAATGTAGAAAAAATTGAGTAACTGTTTTGCCTAGTTCGGGACTCCTCGACAGTAAACATGCATGACCCCATGGGGGTTGAGTGCTGGACAGTCAAGTCTCATAGTGTACACATTACCATTTAGTCGTTGAGGGAAATCATTCGCCTCGCAATCTCCTACTTCTGTCGATCTACTACACAGTACATTTGTCATCTAATACACTGGGTGAAAATCCGCTTCACTACCTATCTAGTTTACTCCCATATGGCACGGCTTCTTACTGAGAATTCGGGAAGTTCACCTCGAAGTAACCCATCAGTCAGCACTTTAATACAGTTCAGATAGAGGTTCCTAGGAATTTACTGATTTTGGAATCGTTTTCATCAGTTTAACATCAGTTGCTGAACCAATGAAGTGGTAAAATGTGGCCCATTGGATTTCAACCCACAGTGAGATGTGACCGTCCTTTGCTAGTCCCCTCATAGGGTTGTCGGTGTACACTACTGATTAGTCCCAAAAAAGGATGAAACGACTGTTCTCTTCCCCACAATTTTCAGTGACACTCGAATTGATATCATTTGGTCTCGAAGACTACCTTAAAATCAATAATTCATCATTTCTCATCGTCCATATTCACTGACATCCAGAACAAATAAGCAGTAATCATAATAATGGTGGATTTTTCAACGAGAAAAGTACACCTAAATAAACCCCTTACAAGAGTTTGTATTATGAAGACGAAATATCTTACTGTTGTCGTTAGAAACTTCATCTTGACACTGTCTACAAAATATAAAATACAGGTTATCTTGAGAGAATTGTATGAGTAATTTAATTTATAAGTACTATGGAATGATTATGAGGTCAAGTCCGTAAGTCGAAGTAGGTTTAAAAAATGATTGACACTGGAAAAATAAATAGTCTGAATTAAAAGTACTCAGTTACTTTTGTTCATACCCTGACCTATAATATAGCGGAAAAGAGTTATAGTCTTAAATGCCAGTCCATTTAATGGAATGGAAAAAATCAACATTGATTTAAGATATATAGGATATTCTCTTAACATTGAAATTAGTGTATGAGAAGCCATAGTTCTATGAAAATGACGTCTCAAAAGTTGTCATGGACGACAAATTGAGTTCTAAATATCCTCACCAGTGAGTAATATTTTACAGCAGTTTCCTACACTACGTCAACAAATGTAATATCGAACTATGCCTTATCTAACAGATGCGTGTAACGTACCTATTCTTGTGTAAATTTTTAGATTTACACTCAGAACTGGGTGCACTATGTCGTTGTCATCGCGTTGATTGGGATGAGTTGCCAAAACGATTAGAGAAATTAGAGACGGATAGTAAACGTGCTTGGGAGCATTACCGTTTGATATTCAGTTCTGAAAAAGAGTCAAGCAAAAATGTCAAGTAATTTCATTGTTTTGATTTGATATACTTGGATGATAATCTGTTTGATGTCGTATTTTAAAGAATATCAATGATTTTAGATGTAAATAATGATTTGATTAATGTTCGTTAAGTATGGGAAAGTTCCAAAAAGATATTAACTGAAAACATGATGGTAAGTCACCATCTTAAAGAGCTAAATGAATTCGTGATTCTACTCTGTACAGATACTGTAAAACATTCATCAGGTAATCGTAATATTTAACCCAGTAGCCTTACACCGGTTTACGTTTTAAACCATGTCGCACCAATCTACGTGCAATCTAAGCTATAGCTCTGTGATAGAATATAATTCCAGATTGGATTAACATATGTGAATTAGCGTATAGTGCAACAGTATTATCTTCTAGATGACATCTCAAACACTAATTCTTTCTCATAACTACATTAGAGTGGTCACATCTATTGAGAATAAAACCAAACATAATTCAGCGACCACTTCCCAGTCCGTGCACTAGACAGTCAGCCATACCTATCGTATGAGGCTTTATGATGTCACCTTACTGCCCAGACTTCGGTATGCTGAGCATGGTTCCAACTCATGACTTTCTGATTGAAAGGCGACTGCCTACACCAATAAACCACTGTTTCACATATCTATTGGTTTGATGTTGAAGACACTGCGTTGCTGTCCATATGTAGAACTTGTCGTCCACTGCTCAGGAGCTGAGGGCATGAGATGTAGCTTCACATAAAATCACTAGTTCCACATCGAAATAACTAATCATTTCTTTTACAGGCTGTCTTCCTTAGTAGTACTAACCCTACTAATATACAAAAAATGTTGATTGATGTTATTACTGCTTTTCAATTAAGACGATAACGGAATGTTGCATGAATCTCATAATTTGCGGTTCGCCTCATGAAATTTTCTTACAACATTACCCATCTGTTTCACAGTAAAACCTGAAATTACTGTCACTGTAAAAAAGTATGTTCACTATCACTGTTCATAAGATTGAAATAAGACTTGTTCGAATCACTTCGGGAAGGTACCTCCTTAGTTAGACAGTAATCTTTTAAAAACAACAGCCATTAGTTTGCCTACAAGAATAAGAGGATTTCGCAAAATATTTATCAGTATTAACCCTTCATCTCCAAGTAAAACGGCGGGAAACAGGCTTCGAACAACGATCTGTGAAGGATTGTGCTTTTTAAATAAAGGGGACGCTGTAGCCATCATATGTCTTTGTTGTAGCCTTCTAACGTGATATAATATGTAAATTAAACTTTATCTTGTTGCGTAAAGACAAGAAAGTAAGAACTATTTTCGATGAAAAGGTAGGACGAAAGCAGAAATCTTTCTGTTCCCCTCATATATGACTTCAAATATTTGTATGTGTAGCCGATGTACGCCTGAACCGACCACCTATCCATAAAAATTAATCGAGGAGAATTCCACTTCTCCCGTTTAATTTTTGAAACAACAGTGAGGATAGAAATGCAACACTATTTTAAATATTCATTTAGTGGATATGCAGTATTGTTTATATATTTGTACTTAAATTCATTTATGAATTTTTAGTTACCCTGTGGTACAAGATTGAATTCAAGTTGAAATTTGTGCAAAGCATTCATTTCTTAGTAGTTTTTTTTCTTTGATTGAATTGAGAACTGCCGATTTGTCAACCTAAAAACACTCATTCCACTGGTACGGAGTACACGTATTCGTCACAGTGAAGCTGAAAACACTGAATCGAGACGACTACCTACATCTGTTAAATTTTCAGTTAGTTTCCTTTGTCGAAGCCACCTTGGGAAAGAGATCAGCGACAAAATAATTCCCCTCTTAAAATCATTTTTCTTTACTGATTTTCCTATGAACACTAGTTACATTTTCTGAGGTAGGAGTGTTTGGTACTATATTTCCGTGCGTTGATGTTGCTCTGGAAGCTAAGATGAATATTAACTGATGAAAACATAAAATGTTTTAATTTTATTCGGAATGGTGTTTGTTCATAACCATCATTGTACTCTCATAAAACTGTTTAACTGTAACGTGTTCGCCTACAGAAATGAATGTACCGAGTGTTGGGAGTTAATCAAAATAAAGCCTTGGACCTAGATTTTGTGCTTGTTAACATTTATCAGCAGGGCGTGTCTACAACACCAAGGGGACTGTTGTCTCAGGACTTTACTCAGTATAGAAGTCAGTTACTATTAGTACCACTATGGGATGACTGTAAGACTGGATTCTGCATACGATTTTGTCACCAAGAGACAATCGATTTAGATGTTAAGTCGTACGTTCTGAGTGGTAATCTAGTGTTTTATGCCTGATATGAGAACGAACTGAAGCTGCACGTATTGACAAATAGACATGTACCAAAAGGACTCAATTGTTTTTTGCTCTCTGAAATATAATACTTAATGGTACTGAGTTAGTGTATGAATGAGCACTATTGAAAACGTTTTTGGTCTGTGTTAGTTTTCTGCTTGCTGACCTTACTGATACTGTGGTGAATGTGCAATTTATTTTGTGATGTAGTCCACTGATGTAAGCATTTAATATTCAAACAATCGTTCTAGGGTTTGATTCCCATCCACTTGTTCTTGTCTAAGTAACCGGTAGTTTCATTAAATCAATCTAGAGGTTTGTGGGGACTTATTTATTTTAGGTTGGTATTCATCAGGGACTGACAACTGGAGTACCATTGGAAACCTAGGAGCACTGGACAGTTGTTTCATCTTTGTCTGGGACCCCTTAACGGTGGGTACTCGAAACCCCACCGGGGATCAGACCATAGACCTTCGGGTTCCGTGGCCACTGAAGCACTGGGTCGGAATCCAATGGTCCACATTTTAGTTCACGATATAACGCGACCTCCATGCAATACCGCTGTTGAGTAACTGTCTTCAAGTCTGATTTAATATCCTTACCCCTCTAACAATTAGTAGGACTCATCCCCTGGTACACAGACTGAGTCTATAGTTGCATTCAATAAATAAATAAAATATTTTTTATTTCTCACTAGACTTTCTGAATTTCTTACTGATGCTATGGAACGTGTCATCTGCCTTCAAATGGTGTATCGGCGAATGACTTCAAGGTAATAATATTTTGTTTGTTTTACATTTTCATTTATCCAACCTGTGAATTTTTGTCTAAGTGTGTAGAATAAATTCTTACTTGGTTTTGTCTGATCACAATTCTACTATGTCGTTATTCATCGTCATCCCTTATAAATTCAAGAATTACATTAAGGAGGGTATATGTTACAATTATTCATGTATGTATCACCTGATCAAATTAGTTCATTGATGAAGACTGCACTTTCTAATGTCATGCGTATTGGAACCAAATTTCATAACAAATCATGGGGACGCACACACAGTTGGAGTCTTTAAATATTTTCTACCAACTTAACTTTATGGATCAACTAAAAAGTACTTATTTAGTGGTTTGTTTTTCGATCATATCTCAGAAAGGACAAGCTTTATATTAGTGGATGTGAACAATTATCGAAAAGTATAGGCATCTGGAGCACTTACTTATCATACATAAATATGATGTTATGTAATGTGTAAATCCAATCCTTTCTTCATGCTCTGTCAGATAAATAAAGAGGCATCTTCTTACAACAGAGCTCTAAAGATGGTTATAAAACTCTTTGTTATTTTTCTCTCAAATAAAATCTTGGGACCAGCGACACTGAAGTGCGGTGTATAGTTTCAAATCCTCCAAACCCCCGGGAACTCCTTTAGAATGAGAGTATGAGTTTGACAGGATTAAAGCGACCATCTATAGAATGGTTAAACTTGCGACAACATCGAGTTCTTAGCTTTCGTATGTTACGATTCCAATTAATCTGAGTTAACAGGACGGAAAGAGAATATATTCATGTGTCTATAAAGAGTTAGTGAAAGTTACCCTTCATGTTTTAATGAGATCTGATTACGTTATCGTGCTACGACTGTTTTCCACGGTCACTTGCATGAGTTGATAAATTATCCTAAAGGTACCCATAGGGGTGACAAACCAATTTGAAATCACCGCAACTTCACTCTAAGAATTACTTGAAGTTGTACATTTGGTATCATTTCAGCTGGTAGATTATCTGACCGGATTATTAGCTAGCAACACGAATACCAATTCAGATATGCTAATAAATATACAAATTTGCATACTTTTGCATCGACTTAGATTGTAATCTTTCCTAGGTCTAGTCAACTTGAAATCTTTCTTAGCGCAATATCTTTTTCAGCATAATTTCAAATAAAAATGGGTAGTAATGGTCTAATTTTCGTCACCTATTATGCAGCCACTTTAGTGGATGAACGTTCGACACCTAACTTACTAACTTTTCATCTCTGTTGGGAACCACAAACCCGACCTTACTATTACCAGCCTTACACTTTTGTGTTTGTTATACCACCCGAATTACTGACTAGATAATAATTAATGTCATCAAGTGATAAGGTTGAGAGCATGCCATTTGGTCAACCTTCTGTTTTTAAATTCTTGCTCTGTGTTCTTAAGTCTGATAGTTTTGTGAGCACAAGTTAACTACAGCCTAAAGGGACAAAACTCATAATTTACAAATTGTTGGTGAATTTCTATGAAGATCCACTTTTCACCGAGATGTACGATATTTTAGCACCACCTTATAGGCATTTGGAGGCTTGAAGTACATTGCAATATTTTGTCATACATTATTACTGCTCGATATTTTACTTTTCCTACCTCTATAATACTTTCACGAGGCACAATATCATCACGTTAAAACCGGATTTTCCGGTCTACTAATAGCATTAACAGCTAACAGTAGTCTATTTTTCGTAATTTCATCCAGAAACATTTGAAAACTTTCGTTTCTCTTATATTCATCCTTTTTAATGCATTACGTTTTTATCTGTACTGTTCTTCTGTTTAGATTTCGACATACTCTGGAGTATTTAGGCTATAGTCCAGCCAGGGCATCCAGTACTTCTGTTGGTTACTTTTGTCGTATTCTGGCTGAATTTGCCTTGGAATATAGAACAACACGAGAAAAAATAATTGAAGGAAGAGAAAAGAAGGCACTGGCACGTGAACGTAAACGCACGAGAGGCAAATTAATAGTTGACGTAAGTAGTAAACCCAGACTTTACAACAAAGTTATTGATACTATAAACACAATTGTGTTGGAATGTGACTGGCTGTTCCATGAAGTTTGTTGACAGTGAATATATCTGATGTGTTGTTTCTTAAAAACCCTCATTCATTAGACTAAGTGCCGCTTTCGAGAATATTCTTTTTGATTCGTCGTACAGGGTGTAGCATATTAGAACAAACAAATAATAATCAACAGATATTTTGTATTATTCCTCAAAATTTCGATCTTGTTAGGAAGATCCTTTTCAGGTTAATATTCAAGTTTCGGTTCAGAAGATGGTGACCTTTACGATCATCTGATTACATCGTGATATGGAACAAAGATCAACACAATGCAGGTGGATGAATTAAAAATCGGTCAGAGAGACTTTTTCTAGTAGTGCAAATACGGTGGAACAAAAATAGGGTAGGGAAATTTCGTTTGACTATGAAAAGTACAATGGGTTGAGTTATCAGGAGCGAGAAAGAAGAAATTATTTTAGAAAGATGAATATTTGAACATAAACAATATATATAATTATTAGTAATGACGATAATTATAGTGATAACGATAAAGGTACTTTTGATAACAGTTGAAGTATGAATGATAACAAAATGTATTATGTAATACATAGAATGGTTCATAGAATGTATATAACTCAGAAAGGAGCTTAAAATTGGTGAAAGTGAAATAGGATTGGACAAGTTGTTAAAATGCAACCAATACTTTTTGACATGATGAAGATAATTAAGCGAAATAACAACCCAAATGACTCAACCCATTGTACTTTTCATAGTCGGACGAAATTTCCCTACCCTATTTTTGTTCCACCGTATTTGCACTACTAGAAAAAGTCTCTCTGACCGATTTTTAATTCATCCACCTGCATTGTGTTGATCTTTGTTCCATATCACGATGTAATCAGATGATCGTAAAGGTCACCATCTTCTGAACCGAAACTTGAATATTAACCTGAAAAGGATCTTCCTAACAAGATCGAAATTTTGAGGAATAATACAAAATATCTGTTGATTATTATTTGTTTGTTCTAACATACTACGCCTGGATTAGACGAGTAAAAATACACCTTATACGATGAATCATACTAACTTGGTGATCAAATTTTTTCAAAGCATCTATTCCATTGTTGGTCAGGATGCGTTCAAACTTATTCTTCTTGAATTGCTTGTTGTCGGTTACTTTTAATAGTTGGTTCCAGTACAGACATTTTTTGCGTAAATAAACTCAAATGGTATAATGTCCTTACTCTAGTGGTATGTTGATGTGAACAGTTAAGTTGTCAACTGGTTCTGTCTAGGTGCACCATTGATGATTTAAGCTGTGAACAAGCAGAATATCCATCTTGTAATAAATATTGCTAAAAAAATTCCAACTGTTGGTGTGATCATGGGCAGCAATTTTGCTCGCATTATTACCAAAATAAAAACATCATTGTGTGTAATATACCTATAATACACTAAGTCATCTAGTTTTTAAATATCGACGATTTGACTAACGAAATCTCTAGATAATATTCAGTAGTCTCTGATCAGTCAAGTTGTTAAGCACCATATGGACTGATGACGCCTTTATGTTATCAATCACAATATATGGTCCTTGTTGGTTGGATGATTTTAGACTTCAGACATTATGGATACAACAGTTCAGAAGTTGGGAACGTACTCAATCTTGATATTGAAAAATGCATTCACAGCAAGTTGTTAATAATTACAAAATTGATCACCTTGGGTCAATTTTTGCTTTTAAGAGTATTTCGTTCAGTAAATGATAAAAATGATGTTGCAGAAAGTTAACTAAAATGAGAGGTAATTTCGAAGTTTTACACACATTCGTTAGTGAAAATTTTAGTGTTAACAATATAAACTATGGTTGTGTATGGAAGTGGTGATTTGACACTTCAATTGACATTCAATAAAAGCTGATTCTTATTCTACCCAATATATTAGCTATTCAATGACTTGGGTCCCTCTACAACTTCTATTGTCTATGGTCGATTTCTACGCGGTGAATCGTAATTTTCTTTATACTAGGTAGTTGTTTCATAAAACCTCATTTCGTAGGATGTTTCAAGGGATTTTTCATAAGAAGTCAACACGTATTACGAAAACCTGGGATCACTGGACAGCTGTCTTGTCCTGGTTTCAAATTCCTCCTCAAAGTGAGGGATAAATTCCGAAATCAGTAAATACCACAGTGAGTTACTTAACTGGAATCCAGTAGTTCACAATTTACAAATTTTGTCGATTCACCATGTAATGTAGCCATTCAAATACTAATCAACGGAGTAACAATTTCTAGGTCATAAATGGCTGTTGTCGAGATCAGAAACTACGAAGATTAAATAATACTGCTTCAACTCATACATAATTCTAAGTGTTCACTTCTAAGGAGTCTCAAGCAAAGGCAAAAAAATCTCCAATGCTTTTTTGTTTTCAGGTGTTCTCTGTCTGGTTTCAATGCGTGTTGACTGCCTCCCTGAAAACAGTCAATCAACTTGAAATACATATTTATTAATTTGACTAGTTTACCTTTCGATTTTCAAATTTATACACTATGTATGAAAATGTTTGTCTTAAAATTGATTCTCTTTACTCACATTTCCAGCTAAACACTATAATGGAACTGCAACAGGAAGTTGCTCAAACTGAGACTGTAAGCATATATTATGGGAGATACACATACACGTCCACTGTAAACTTATTCTCAAACACAACACAGTATAAACATTACGTATATGCTAATATTCACTGTTGGCTAGTATTAACCTTTTCCTTTTTCCTTAAATCCAACTGCTTGTTCATCTTTATCCTTTGCGTTTGCTCACATAATCCACTCAACTTTACCTTTCATCACAATTCGTTATCTCATTTTAACTGCACTGATGTTTGAAATATGGTGTTGTTATTTTAATAGAAAATTTAAGAGAGCAGTTTAGTCATTACTATCACACTTTTGTATAAGAGAATAGGATTTACCTTCGTTTTCACGGTGGGACTATAAAATTTTGTCTTTGAGCCACTGTCAAATGACGTTGAGTGTGCCGATAAGGAAGTGGCTATCTCTTTCTAGTTTTTTAACAGAAATGAAAAGAGATCATAGTAGATACGGGGTTTTAGTAGTGTTTGGTAACTTGTGCGTACACGAATGTTGATTAGAATCGCTAAAAAAACTTTGTCATGCAAAACTGCATCTCTATTTTATTCTGCTTTTTAGTTCAAGCAATCAATAGAATACACTGAGTGAGTTTAGTAGGTCAGTATGAAAGATTTGGCTGCATCACAAAAGCATATTTCTCCTCCGAAGTTTTTCAAGTGCTGATAAATTTGCACGAGTCTGTTTAGTCTCTTTCGATCAGATCTTAGTGTATTGTTTCTTAAATTCGTTTGTCTTCTTCGATCTTCACTAGTGATTAAATGCCCTTTCTTGACGGTTATTGTTATATATTGACAGCAAATTATTTCGTCTGGTGTTTTTTTAAGTCTGATATTGAAAAATGACATTACTTTATAGTGATATGGTTTAAAAAGTTCAGTTTTCTGACAGGTTAATGTATTCAGCAAATCTGGTTGACTAGTATTGAGTCATCAGCGACAATACAAAAGGACTAAAATTTGAATTGCGAATAATTAGTAATTGTTACGTCGTTGAAATGTTCAGTTGTACATCCATATAAAAATATACAGAGTTTCGAGATTCGATCGTTGAACATATAATAAAATTAGTTGACTGATAGCATTCGGAGTTATTAATATGAAGCCTATGCATTGCAGCTGTACCGTATTTCCAATGTATTTGCTGCAGTGTAACTACTTAAAGCTTCAATAATGTTTTGCCAGACTATTAGTCAGATGAAAATCAGTTGGGTATGCAATGATGAGAAGTAGCATTCCAGGACGAATCGTATATCTAGTGTTCTCAGGTTTCCAATGATGAAAGTTACCTTCAAATCAGTAAAGCTCTACAATCATATATATATATATATATATATATATATATATATATATATATATATATATATATATATATATATATATATATATATATATATATATATATACCTTTACAAAGAGAAGTTAAGTGAGCTCCATGGGTTAGTATGAACTCCGATAAGTACATTTCTAGCCATCTTGAAGAAAACTTTTTTGGAGTGAAAACGCTTCTTTAATGACCATTTTCCTCCCACTCCATAGGACAATCTTATCTGCAAAATAAATTATTACAATTATTATTCACTAAGGCCAATGTGTTCACTTACATGACTGTTGAAACAGATGTAGTCGGAGTAGGATTTCATTTCATCGCTTTCTTACATAGAATAAGAAACATGAGGAAGTAATTTAGAATTCACGTTAAATTCTACGATATTGGTGTGGTTTTTATAGCTCCTCTCTTAAATGTTTCTTGAGTAGAGAAGCACCAGCCGCATCTTCTTCATATTACAGTTATTCCTTGTGTCATTATCATCATCTCTGCTTTAAGACGTTATCCTTACTTGTCTATTTATTTATTCGTCGATGTTAGTCTGTCTCCATTTATAACTTAGAGTTGTACTTGTAAACGCTTATTCAGATGGAGTAAATTATCTGTTTCACACATTGTGTTGTCTCTTTTGTTCAGTTGTCCTTGAAAGTATTCTCAGTTCTGATTATTATTTATGTTTTCATTTAAAGTATTTTCGATGAGAAATCTCGTTTATATTTCGACATTCTGTGTGCTCCTTTTTTCGTATTTTAAAATGAAGAATATATTTTACTCGGAAAAAAGAATCTTGCTGGTGTTGCATACTCAATCGTGAAGATTTCACTGTGTTTCTAGACAACATCACTAGCACCAAATTAAATACACTGTGAGGTATTAGAATTCCTCCATGAAGTGATTCAGTAAGTTGTCCTGAAGAAGTGGCGTGCATTAGTAGTTTCCTTCGGTCGTTCTGTCACTGGCTGCACAAAAACTCCAGTTGGCCGTTTTTGTGCCTGACCTTTGACCTTATCGTTGTTTCTCATCTTTCTTACTGGTTGGTAGACCAGGTCTGAATATTGAACGCCTAGGAATTTTCTGATATTATTTGTGTTTTCTCTGTTTGAATTCTCCACATTCTTGAAACTTGAATTCATGTCCTCATTTGTCGACATGCATTGATTCTGGGGATAAAACGTCGTGATGCCTAACTGCTAACTGATGTTCATGTAGACGAAGGTGAAGAAGGAGACCACTTTGCTTGATGTACTGTTTTACTGCAGATGTTGCGGCTGATTTTATAAATGATACTCGTCTTATCTTCTTTAGCTACTGCATTCTTTGGTGTGTTTACTGTAACCTAGAGAAATTGTCAGCTTATAAGCTACACCGATTCCAAACAACCACAGTGGTCTTATGGTGACCTTTGATTTGTTCTTCATTTACGATAAGACGGTCCGTTTGCTGACTTCCATAAATTGCTTCTTAGTTAGTGATGAGTTCGAGAAAAATCTAATGAAGTTGCATGAGTAACCTTCCTTCCATAGGATACACATCAAGCAATTTTCTTCATTCTTCGATGAAGTGGCTGTACTACAGTGTTTTCGATTTTTGAAGACAGTTTGTACACAACTAATTTTGTGTGTTGTTCAGTTGTTACTACCGCGTTATTGTTGATTTTGACTTTTCCTGCACTGGTCATACTGACTGGAACATCTTATATTGGTGGTCTGATGTTTGATTTCTCCGCCAATAAACGTGACACTATGGAAAACGTTGTCGATTAACAGGTTTGTCGAAACAGATGCAACATGTCAACCAATAAGAAAGATGAAAAACAACGATAAGGTCAAAGGTCAGGCACAAAAATGGCCAACTGGAGTTTTTGTGCAGCCAGTGACAGAACGACCGAAGGAAACTACTAATGCACGCCACTTCTTCAGGACAACTTACTGAATCACTTCATGGAGGAATTCTAATACCTCACAGTGTATTTAATTTGGTGCTAGTGATGTTGTCTAGAAACACAATCTTCACGATTGAATTATGCAGTTCTAAAACCCAACAATGTCAAGACAGTCCCGTATTTCATCTTAAACTTCACACTTTTCATATATTTATATCCTTATTTGCAAGTTTCTCACAGTTTGCCTAATTTTTTTTTGTTTTCTGGTAAGAAGTATTCAATCTTCTGTGTGTTGTCGTAATAAAGTCCAGCCATGTGTGCTAATATATTATAATGTATAACCTAGGGTTACTTTGTCCATCTTTTAGCCTGCTATCAGTATTATGTTAATAATCATATATTCCCAGTTTGTATCTATGATAAATTCCTTTTCTAAAGTTTAACATTAGTTACACCGCGAAGCTGCAAATGTGTGTATTGATGAACGTAAAATTCAGACATTGATTGATTCGAAAGACCACTCTATCAACTACCCGGATGACCAATTAAGTTTCTTTATTTTACAGGAAACTACCTTCCCAGTTGAATTAGAGGAGCTTAATTGGTTAATTTAGTCGTTGCCGTGGTGGCCACAGAGTCACTGCAAACGTTACCGCCACTTTTTTAAAAATCTACCGAAATTATTACTGTTAGGGTAATTTCAGTATTTTTACTGAAATCATACCTCTTGGCGTAGGGCTTGGCTCATATTCCACTCGGAATTCTTTTATTGACCAAGAATTAGTGTATAGAAGTATACTTTCTATGGTTTAATTCTCTATAGATGACATGTAGTTTAATTGTTTTAGGATAGGCGGTATATCCTTTTACATGGTCAGATACCTTTTCGTGAATTCCTCTTAATCCAACTCATACTATCGATTCCAGTTTAGCATATATTATCATAAATGTCATCAATTCTTTCTTATCGACGACTGAGATTAACTTTACCACTCCTGAAAACCACCTTTACTGTTACTACTCGGTCAAAAAAAGTTGAAATACATTCAGCAACCGTGTACACTTACATGCAGCAGACCATGAGATACACCAACTGTGTGAGAGCTGGTGATACCACTTGACTGCCCAGACCTCGGTAATGGAAATTCGTAATCCATTGGTCGGAATTCAAATGCTTAGACAAATGAGATGCAGCTCTGTGCTGTTATTATATTAATAAGTTTGTCTTTCGGAGAGTTGAAAAAGATGGATAAGAATTTTCATAATTCCAATTGTGACATTAAAAACAAGATATTCAGCGAAAAGACTCTTCAACGAATTTATTCTCAAGACGTACAATCGTATATATATGATATTTGAAAAATTATATCCTGTGAGGAAAACTAAACACCTTATGATGATGACAATAATAATAAAATGGATGATGATATAGACATTTGTGGTTATGATAACAATTGAAGTATGAATGACAACGAAGTAGATTACGTAGTTTATCTACGACAATGGAGGTATGTTTTTTCTAAGAATTGCCAATAAACATAAGTCGAAGCTGTCGCCGTTGGTTTATGCATTCATTTTTCAACTAGTTCGAACTCCTTTCCATCTATTAAGATCTAAGAAGCCGAATAGGTTGGCTCGTTGCCAACTGCACAAAAGTGCATATATATATATATATATATATATATATATATATTCAAATGACTTATGCTCAATAACTCTAAATAACTAATAATTTTAAGAATTACGAAAATAATATGAATGCAAAAGCCTCGCTAAACAACTCTGATGTATTTATTTTGCATTCTTTTTTGAAAACAATATTGTAGGTTTCAAGTTTGCGAGGTGCTCCGAATGATCTTGCACAATCAAAAGACGATGCAGAACTTCGTGATCTATTACTGCGACCAGCGAATGAAACGGATTCTGATGCATCTTCATTTACAGCTACTATAAGACGACGTCTTCATACACCTGGACCGGGTATGGAAAATATGTATATTACGCGTAATAATGTATTCTACGTAATGAATACCACTTAGTTCTTATATTTAGGGCAAAACAGTTGGCTTTCTTGAGGGAAACTAGCCGTAAAATACGGTTGTCATTAGGATCTTTACCCGACAACTGGACTGAACAGCGTGATCGATATAACTAATGGGGTAGCAATGGGAGTTGCATTCCTATAACGAATCGTGACCTATACTATTTTATTCATCCATTTGCTTAGGTTTGTAAAGCTAATACATAGCACCTAGGGCTAGTTGAATTGGTGATTAATATCCGTAATAAAATCGAAAACGTACTATACAAGCACACTATGCACCATTATTCTCACTTTTATTGAAATAAGAGCACTCCTCAGTTGTTCTAGCTAGTCAATAGAAATTCTTTGAGGCCTATTGTATGCTGATCATATTTTAGGAAATATGATAGGCCGAGATAATTCTTTTTCACATTGGTTTCAAAAACTATTTATTAGTAATAAAGTCAATCTGGTTGTTTTTTTTCAATAATCGATAATCCATAAAAATGAAAACAAGTGGTTCAGTGAAGAGACTCTTCTTGTCAGTTTCATTCACCAAGCTATCCAATTGCATTTAAATAACATAAAGTTCATACACGGAAAGACATCGCAAAATTTGTCAGAAGTAACTTTGCATATATTGGTTCGCATGTAGCTATCTATTTGAAATTCCCAGAGAGACAGAAAATAGTGTTCACACTATTTTTCACTTGTAATTTGGAAATTATATCCAAATACGTATTAAAGCTGAATGACCTGTGCATCTGTTTTTCTTCGCCCTGGCATACAACTATAAATTTCACATGAATAAAAAGAACTTTTAAAGGACTCACTTATTTGGCCATCGTTATAGATTCGATGTTGGTCCTGTGTAATGAAAATATCAAAGGAATGATGTGATGGATATTAGGCTTATAGCACAATTTAGAGGAGATAAATCATTTGGTAGAGTCTTTGATTTTTTATCGACTGAAGTGATTTAGACGTTTGAGTAGGTAGGGACTTATACTTTTTATCAGTGTTGGCTGAAGATATCCTTCAACTTCTTAACAATACCAACATATTCTTGCAAAATACCCGGTTTTATTTGAAAAAAAAATTCTTTTCGATGAATGGTTTTCAATAACCTTATAGTCCTATTCCCAGTAACGACAAATAAATAAATGTGTTACTGGCTAACAGTCCAACGTTAAGTCATCAAAAAGGAATGTTCTAAGAGAAAATATTGAATCCTTTCTATGGTTAGAAAGATGTTTCTTCATCATTGGGTTTAAAAGAAAAATATGCACTCGGTCACAACGATGACTATTAGGTAAAATGTATTTTAATGGGAATTCAAAACTAACACACAGATATTGTACTTAACATCGCTGTCTCTCACTTTTGGGTTGCCAACACTTTTGCCAGATATAATTAACGGTCTGCTCTCACTTCGAGCCGTTTGGTTTGATTTTGTACAAAAATTTGAATTGGGCCTGTACTAATTAATTGATTTAACCAAATCAGGATAAAGCTTTTTTTGACTGGCATTTCCTTTGCACAACCAAGCAGTATAGTGCTCGGAGATACGTTTAAGAAGATTATGCTTTATTTGGTTTGTATAACCAGCTTCATGAGAGGAGTTAGATTGACAGATACAAATGAATGTGTCCCAAAGTGATAGTTTACCATTGACTTTTCTTTGAATTACCTGTCAGCTGAAGAAGATAGATTACAGTTCAGCATCATAGAATTTTCTTCTAATTGCTTTGGAAATCGACCACTGAACAGTTCTACAGCATTGTTCCCTTATGAATTCAATATTCATGAATAAGCTATTTTTAGAGACAGTAAGAACTCATTCTTGTTTGTGTTTTAGGTTCATGTTCTCTGCAGTTAATCTTGTGGGGTGGGGGCAGTCATTCTGATGACGTACTGCTTGCAGATTTTCTGTCTATTCGTCTGCTGTCATCTGTGGAAATTCTTCTAATTCTTGAGCAAAGTAAATGAATTTCTTTTGAAAATAAAGTAGAAAACACCTTCCATCCATCTCATCTTCATTCATTTTAGGGCAGAAATACAAATCCACGCGAATCAAAAAGAGTTGAAGCAATGATACATACGTATCTCGTTTAGTTGAACCGAATTCTGTGTACGTAAGTGCCTTGAATCAATAGGAATATATGTATGTCAGTGCATAATCTCATGAACCGAAGATATAATAATATTCATGAGAGCAAGGAAACTAAACATTACTCATCGACTAAATTCACCGGCAAAACTTCCTATAAAAGGCAGCATTTGTACTGAATAACTGAAAAAATAGAAAACTTCAGTAACCTAAGCTACTTTTCAAAAAATGATTGCGTTCAATCATGTTGATGTGTTTCGTTGAAACAATTCACATTTGTTTCTGTTTGTTTTTTTACCCCCAATCCTTTCGTCTATATGCCTCTCATTTTTATTCCACTTTTCTTTTTTGTTTTGATATTCAACGTACCTGACATATTTATTGGGTCTAATTCACCTCAACAATGACAACCAATGAAGCTCCTCGACGACCGGCGCCAAATCGTGGACGAAGTCCAGGCTTATTGTGCGAAGCATCAGATGCTTCAATGGAAGCTTTAGACCAAGAACAAGATATTCTCTTGGATGCATGCTTACGTGCAAGTACACCGTCAATTAACTCTCATGGCACTTTGGGACGGCGTGGTCCACCTAAAGATCGAAGAAGACCCACAGACAGATCAAGATTTTCAGGTATTCATTAAAATAAATTCTGAAATAATATGGTTATGTGTAAGTACACAGTACGGTACAGATGCGTGCAGTAAAGCCTGAGCTACACCTAGTATGTGCATGAGTTAGTGATGCTACCTCATTGCTCCAAACATCAGTAGATGAAGCACATATCTATCCCATGCCTAACTCATTAGAAGTAAAGTGACTCTAAACCAATACACCAATCTAATGTTTAGCTTATTTTTCTTATAACCAAGAAGGCCTAAAGAAATACTGCAAATACAATAGTTTTTATATAGTGTGTTTTAAACAAAACCTAACAATTGTTAGAATTCTTAAATACCACGTGTAAACTGTGTACAAAGTCATTATGCACATTGTAATTTGACGCATCCATTTGTAAGTTAAGAAGTCACCCTCAATCCTATCGCTATGCTATATTTCACATGATATTACTCGTGACAGTGTTTCATACTAGCTGAAGCACCCAAATTTTAAGTAATTGTTTGAAATGTTAAATCTTACATTACCTACTTCTGCGCTAGCAACCGAGTAGCATCATAAGCCCTCACATATCAAATGTTGCTCATATCCTAGTATACAAACGTATATCGTGTAGATGTGTTACATTACTATTACTATTATTATCGTTAGTACAAACGTTGTCCTACACGATGATAAATAAGGAACTGCAGATACAGTGAAAAAAGTGGCTATGAATTAAAGCTGACTAATAAATCAACACTTGTTAGTTATTTACTTTGGATAAATAATGTAGGTTGAAAATGCATTATTGAACATTGAAGTAACGCGCATCACTTAAAAGTAAAAAAGCGTAAGGAAATGAAAAGTAAATACGTGCAAATTAACGTATAAAATACTTACTTTCAGTTGTCACCTAAAATTATGAAGTGTCTGTTCAATTTATTTGATTAAAAGCCCAAGAAGTTTGCTATCCTTCGTATTAGTTCAGCATAATATTCACTCAGTTTGTGCACTGCTACAGTATCGTGATATAGCTGCCGTATGATTTCTCATGCCTCGTTTCTATCACGTACACCATTATGTTTTACACGGACGGTAGGTGAACATGTACGACATAAAGCATGTATATTTTCATTGATGTAGGTTGCTAGGCTCATCATGGTAAGCTGGGATATGGATCTTGGCTGGTAAATCCAGCTTTGTTCAATCAGCAATCAGCGGCACTTATTGTACGAGGTGTTTTGTTACTATCTGGCTGCCCAGATCTCCCCAAGTCGAGTAGGATTCGAACCTTTGGTCCCTTGATTAAAAGTTGAGTGACTAGTTCACTGATCCACAGTTCCATATATAAAAACTTAAGTTAGTTTAGCAGATAGAAAGATACTTGTTTATCACACAAGCGAATTCCTATATTTGACTGAAGTATGCATGAAAATTAAGTGAAGCTAAAAATATAAGGCAGAATGCGTATAAAAGTTAATTAGAAAAGATTTGATCAAAAAACAGAGAGTAAGTGTAATACTTAAAGCTGGCAATTTTCTTTAAAATTACTGTTACGTAATGTTAAGAGTTAATGGACTCCATTTAAATTTTCAGTTATGGATCGTATGACTAAAACATTGTCTAAATTATTGTCATTAGCATTAACAAAGGTTGTTAACAATTGGACTTACAAAGAAAGTATTTCAACTAATCTCAGTAGTTTATACAGCTGATTCGTTCTTTCATTCGAGATTTGTAGTATAATCAAATCGATTTTGAGGTCGCACTCATCACGGACTAAAGTCAGTTGGAGAATCATTGAAAAACGTCGAACACTAGACAGCTGTTTCGTTTTAGGTTGGGAATTCTCAGCAGTGGACAACCACGATTGAACGAGAGATCAAGCTAAGGACGGTCAGACCTCTTGGTGAGCACGCTATCATTGAGCCACTGGGTCACAGTCCATTGGTTTCTCTTCCTAGTTCCGTCAGTTCGTAATACAGCGTAACCATCGTCCAGTGGAATGGGTGTGTGTCAGTGGTTTAGAGAGATGGCTATCAACCATTGGCTCACGGGTTCGAGCCCCGTCTCACATACCAAGGTCTGGGCAACCAGGTAGTGTCACTAGCCCCAAAACACATTAAGTGTGGCTCACTGCCTACTGCATGGATGTGGACAAAATGCCTGAGTGTGTTGCGAATGCAGTGACGAGTTTTTGTTCCCACACCTAGCTTGGCTGACTCCATAGGTTACGCCAAAGGTAGGAAAGTGTGAACTACTGAATTTCAACTGACGAGCTAAATGGTATTGCGATCGCTGAGACAACTAAGGGTCCTAGATTCGATTCCTCATGGAGTTATGGGTACACAGTACTGAACAGTTCTACACTAAGGTGAAACAGGTATATAGCGCTCCGAAGTTTCGGTTAGTTCTCTGACTGCTGTCAGTTCATGATGAATACTACCTTGCAATCAACCAGTCCTTAAGAACCACCAGCTGAAAGATGCAAGTTGACCAGTTACTAACACTTGCTGAACATTAAAATCTCTGTCTATTAGATATATATGAAACTCAATTGTTCATAGAACATGTTTTAACTACCAGACCACGTGATTGTATAGTCCATTATCAATCATATTTGTTCTTAAGTTTACTTTTCATATCTATGTGTATGTTACTATTATTATTATACATATTGTCATATAGTTATCGGTGTCTTTTTTGTTCAACACACTTTTTTCAGTTTTCCAGTGCGTTTTTCTGCTTCTTTACTGTTTATAAAAAAATTTGTTCCGTTTTGCATATCATACTTGGCTGAATGCTTTGTGTTGTACTGTACTGTGTATATATGAAGCTGTTCTGTAATGTAATATGAGTTTTGAGTCGGTAAATTAAGATTATATGAATGAATTCCTGACTGACTGATTTACCCACTCAATTGTTTCAGTTAATCAATATGTTGAATTTTGGCTTTCAGTTGACAAAGTTGATAATGGTCTTATCCATCATAGTTATGTTGTTGTTGTGTTTTACTGTGCCTGACGTGCAATAGACTAAAAATCAGCATGCCAGAAATTTTCACTCCACTGACATTGAGGGCTAGAACTGACGGAAAGGTTTCTGCTTCCATTTTAGAAGTAACATCAACTGTGTTCCGCTTGAATTTAGTGTGTGTTCTGTTCACTGTACGAATGCATGACAATAAGTTTTTATTTCAGCATGTGTAATGCATTCATTGTGTGTATGCGTGTGTGTGTTGAATGATGGCGGCATCCTATGCTTAATTTACAGCTATCTCTTTTGCTTGTCTCTTTAGTGCGTCGAACTCTTAACAAGAAACTGCTGAAGACGATATCAAGGCAATAGAACGAGTAATACAGGCATCAGCTAAGACGTAGCTCTGCATCTTGATATGAATATCATTACTGTCTGGGAAGCATCCATCTGCGAAAAAAACTTACTAACAAATCAAGTAACGCTATTTCGATGCCTCTTGCTACAAAGAATCCTATCCTTGAAAAGTGTCGTTTTTTATGTACATAAACATTTTGTATCTTTTTTCAGAAGACATCAGAAAGTATATTAGTCCTTTTTATTGCTGTTATTTATAATTTGTAAGGGCTATCCTTCACGTTTCCACCTTATACGCAGATGCATACGTACACCCCACCCCCTTCCACAAATACAGTATCATTTATATCCACTATATACATATGTCACCTATTGTGTAATCCTTCTGAATAGAGTACTGCGCAATCAACTTATCCTACCTGACATTCTCTCTCTAGTTGTCCCTTTCCTTCCGACACATCTGAATCTTTTCGCCTTGGATTGCCTTTTTCGTTACTTGTTACCCTTTTTCGTATGACAACGGTGTGATAAATTCAAATTCAACGACTTCATTTCGTTTCAGACTACCTTCGCTTTTCTATTCACAGTGCAGGCTTCAGTGTGCTGTCTACACCGTTTCTTTTTTCTGATTGTAAAGCATAATAATGTGACAGACACAAGTTATACTACATATTCCTTCCTGTTTATATAAAACAAGAGACTAGTTTTAAAACTAACGCAACAAAAACTGAATTGAACGTCGAATAAACAGAAGGTAACATTTCCAACTCTGTATTTTTTACTTGTTCTTTTTTATTTTGTCGAACCGGACACAGATTGAATTTTAAATGGTGTAATTTTGCTTTCTTTTCGCCTTTGAATGAATTTTCTAATCTCGCCTTCAACTTCAGTTCACTGTAGTTGAGTTTAATCTGATGGGAAACGCTGAGTACGCTAGCAGACACAATCCTATTGGTTCATAGCAATATACGTCGACGAGATCATTTTTATATGCCTTTCCCTTTTCGCTACACTATACTCCGTCCCCTCCTCTCGCTCTCTCTTCCTGTGGTTATTATTTCCACCAAAAAATGCATTTGAGTTGCGAAATGTCTTTTTTCGTGTTTAGCATCTTTTCGTATTTTGCTTCTTCATTTTATTGTTTTGCTGTCTTTATTTCAAGTAGCGTTTTTTCGCCAATGTTCTCTACATCTCTTCGAAATGCATATGACTATATCTGTACACCACGGTCACTCATTGTATTTCCACTCTGTGCAACATATACACCTTTTTGTGGATTCACTTAGCACATGACTATTGACTTATGAAGTGTCATCAGAAGTTGAAGATGAAATCTACAAAACAATCATAACCAAGAAATGAAAAACAACCAATTTATTCCCCCTTCGGTCTGCCCTGCTAAGATTTATTTTTGAAAGCTGATATACACACATACTTAAGATCTACCATTGATTTCGTTCTTTCAGTCTTATTGCTTAGTTATTATTACTAATACTTTATCCATGTGTAGTTCACCTAAACAGTATAATGATTTTTTTCTAAAAAACATTAACGAATTATCAGAGCATCTATTTCTTTCACCCCGCATTGGTCCTTCATATTCTCTAACCGTTTATATACTTTCTTAATTCGTTTCTTATTGTATATTAGCCTTGTATTTGCTTCCCTATCCTTTTTTGAAACCAGATATTATTGACACTGTTATTGTTTAACTAAGATTTCCGAATATCTTATAGATTGATGTATGGGTAGATATAAGTATGTATATTGTCTGTGATGTTTGGAGTGAAAGCGGGAAATGGAACTTATGATTTCTTCAGACATTTTTCGTATCAATGTCTTCTTGAGTTTGTTGGCTGGGTAGTTGGTTGGTTGACTGTTCTTGTTCTTAACTTCCCCGTTGTCTTTGTTCTTTCGTGTATTTTTCCTTCAACCTCTTGCAAAAACGAAAAATGTTTCAGTTTCCCACTTAACTTTTATTGTACAGTCAGTATCAGAGAATCAGTTGAGCAATATTCCTGACATAAATACCCTACTGTGGAGAAATATTTCCATTGCGTTAATTGTGCTCTTTTTATGATAAACATTAAGTGATACCTTCTTAACATTGTTGTTCTTATCGTCATCAGGTGAATTCATGTGCTTATCTATATCCTACCGTCATTTGAAATAATAGAGAGAGAGGTGCACTCATCCACCTGGCGCACATTTGTGCAGTAGGCAATGATCCACACCAATTGTATGTGGTTGCCCAAACTTCGGTAGTTGGAGCGGGGCTCAAACTTGCCAATCTAATGGTTGTTAGTCATCTCCCTAAACCAAGGGCTACAGCTTCAAAACCACTGAGGCCTTTAATTCTGAATTTGTTAACGAATGTGAAAAATACCCTTTAGATTTAGGTATCTGAAAAAAGCAGCTGAGATGCCCATAAATAGTGGTGCGGTTAGATGTTATTGAAGATGACCACCATAATAATTGTATGTCCCACTGACGGTAGATCATACTCTAATTCACTTATCATTTTAAAGTTTTTATCATCCGTAATAGACTAGTTTCCTATAGAACCTGAATACTTGTTTGCTTGTTCGTTTGTTTTCCAAATTGTTTGATAGCTAAGATATTCTAATACCCACCAAAGGACATTTGGAAGATGTAGAAGTGTAAGACGTGAGGTGTTTGTAAGTATTAAGCTATGAATATCTTCGAATTACTGTTTGCTTATCAAAACTACCAAGTGAATAATTCTGAGATAATATGAACGTAGAAATATTTCTACCCTGATGAATGACACTAACTGATGCAGTATTCAGTTAGAGTAAGGCTAAGAGTGATATAACCTAGAAAGTACGACAGGTAACATTAAAGTCGTTAGTCAGCGTATGCTGCCACTGCTCAAGTTATCTATTCCTAAACAAGACGCAAACACAACGGCTGTCTGTATCCTGCTATGGGGTAAAGCTGCTGACGATAGGGAAAGTTGTTGTATTTCTTCACAGTGAATTTCTTCATGACTATTGGTCTTGGTTCTGCAGGTAGATTTACTTCAGGGTATAGCAAAGTCATACTTTTCATTCCTTTGATATACCCAGTCTCTTGCATTCCACTTATTGCCATGCATGGGTTTGTGACACAGGACTTAAGAGGATAATCTTGTCACGATGAAGTTTAGCCAGGCAATTTCATCTAAAAGATAATCTTATAAATGAGTACAATATAAGTCTATGATCGGGAATCATCACAACTAACAAACTACAGCAATGTTTAGTGTTTCGTACAAAATGCATACTCATGATAGTGTGCCAAACATTGATAACACCACTATCATTAGTAAATTTTAAGGCAAAGTGTTAATGAAACTGTTTAGAAGTATCTGAAATATAAGGTGAATGGTCAATATTCTGTTTCAGTAAAACATTTCACTTGAGCATTATCACTATCAAACTTGACCTTATTGTCTAAAAGTTAAAGTTACCATCCCTCACATTAAAACACAAGGCAAAAATGAGAAAGACAAAAGAATAGAAATGGCATAATCAAAAACTTTAGAAAGTCATAGGTCGAAGAGAAGGAGAGGGGACGAAGCTAATCTCGAAACATGTTTTAGCGATTAGAATGAAAAGAAGAATAGATACATCTTCTAAAGGACTACCGTTTCTCAAACGTATCACCTACAGTCTCTAACTAAGGGTTTTGTGAATTTCAACGTGGAATCCTATATAGAGCGAGTGTAACAGTTTGGATAGAAAAATACCAGCATGATGTAAAGTTGGCATTAGTGCTAAGTAATTGAAGTAACAAGAACTGAATGGACACAGCTACAGAATGAACAGTAAGGCTGTCTATTAACACTCGTAGTCGCCCGTTGTTTTAACGGCTTGAATTGATTGACCTCTGTTGTCTAATTGGCTCCTATGTGGATTTCACAATATTACCTGAAGATTTATTGTGCTTCAGTTTGCTTCATACCGGTTGGCAGTAGGACCCAACAAGTACGTTTGACTAAATGAGACTAATCAGCTGGATGCACGTGCATCTCAGTAGGTTGTATTCACAATACGACTCCAATCGAGTACCAATCACTTCAAACACCAGACCGATGGGAATAAGAAGTGCCAATAAATGGTTGTTTGTATATTCTGATATTAAAATCACTTTAAATTATAAGTAGTTGGTGAGAAGCCTTGAAATAAATGGATCTATGCTATTCTGTTGGACAAAACTATTATTCCAGGAGATTCGTCTGCTGTATTTCACCGAGCAAGTCAGACTCTTCAGGAAAATGCAGGACAACGTCTGTGAGCAGTTAATCCATCTGCAGGCGGCTAGTCGAATCCTACCATTATGCCAGTTTTTATTCCACCTCTAATCTTCATTTCTTATACTTCCGTTTTGTCTCCTTAACTAAGTTGTTACTTAAGCTTTTATCTAGAATACTGATTTTGCATTTCTCTCCTCACCGGTATCTGTTGATTTGTTAGATTACACAACCTTCATTTCTTTACTCCAGGTCATACTTATTTTAGGCATATTTATTAATTCACACGATCAGCTGTTTAGACACTTTTTAACTTTCATTAGTGGGTAATTTTCGTACCCTGAGCTGCTTAAGAATTATAACTCCGCAAATCATGCTAAAATTCTGTATTATTGTAAATGGACACTAGTTATATTTAAACGGAGATTCTACAACTTTTCGACTGATACCGCCGAATACGAATTTGTCCTTCCAAGTCTTTCTTTTGTGACAGTTAATACTACTTGTAGTCATTAAGTAATCTGTATTATCGGAAGAATTTGTGAAATACCAAATAAGGCTGTTCTGCCCCATTCTACCCTATATAGAATCATCTACACTCACTTTGGAAACCTGATTCTCCTCATAAAGAAGGTGTAATCATGATGGGAAAATAAGGAAATGATGTGTTCATGTTGTAGTAATTGATAAACTTACTAAATTCTTTAAGAAAATACACATTACTCTGTATGCAAAATCTCAAATTCATATGTGATACCACATGGAGGCGACGTAGTTAACGTTAAATATATACATCAATTACAACAATAACTACTATCATAACAAATTTTAAAAGCACATTAGCTGCAATGTTATCACTGAAGTATATTGACCTATAGGCTTAATCATACACGGAGAGTTAGACAAACAATTCTTGAAACACTTCTGAAGTGTATGGTGACAGATATTTTAATATTTTGACTGTAAACAAATTTTAGTTGATTTTGAATAAGAATGCAATAAATGTAGGTATTTTCACCATTCATGCCTAAAAACTACACCATAATTATATGTAGTAGCTAAAACTGTGTAAATATCATTTTTCTTAACTTATATTGGCATAGAAATGGAACGACAACAATGGAAAACTGAAGTATACAGTGCTTGTCTATTTATTTAAAGTATTAACTTACACTGAATGATCACTGGCAAGCAAACAGTGTCATGCTGTTTGGCCTCAAGTGTTGATAGAAAGCTTGCAATCACCCAGCTAAATAACTCAACTTTTGACTGACATTAAGTGGTTGGAGGCAGTTGTTAGGAAGACCAGCTTCATTCCCCTTTCGTCAGCAAGCACAAAAACCAGGTTCCCACCATAATAAAACAGTAATATTGATAAGAAATAAAAGGTAGGTTGTAAGAGAATAAAAAGTGGAATAATCAGAGAAGCAGTCTCTTAGGACACATTTACAGAAGTATCCAATAATTTTCGATAAGAAAGGAATAAAGAAAGCTCTGGTATGATCACTACCAGTTTCCATTCTGAGTAGTGTCTGGTGACGTCTTGAGTCAGTGAATTGTGAAATCTGTCAAATCCTGAAAAAATAGTTGCGATTTACTCACAGGTGATAACGTAACAAAACAAGCTGTCATCTTATGGCACTACTTCATGCACTGACCACTGCCCGACATTCTTTAACTAATCCTATGGTTGGCAAACAGTAATGGGTAACTGACGAGTATAACTTGGATACTACATTATGATAACCACCTGGTGTTTCCTGAGTTTCCATGTTTGTTCGTAGACGTCTGACAAATAATCTAGATAGCATTATTACACCAAATCCATATCGATAGACTCATATATCATCTTCAAGTCAACAAATATAGCTACTGTCAATCACTGATAAATATGACTGTGTTCCAAATCTGGTGTGAGCTAAAGATCTGGTTGATATGCTCATGGTCAGGTCAGAAAGTCACCCGACCTTCTTATATTTGCAATTTCCGGCTATAGTTAGATTTTGGATGGCTATAAAGCCGAGAATCTTAGATACTATGTTTGTCAGACTAATTCCTCTGTGGTTTTCATTTAAGGATCTCTCTCCTTTTTTAAATATATGTTAAGTCAGGAACTAAAAATAGTCTTAGGGGATCATATCTGATTCCAATACGCCAATAGAAAGTTCGTTTAGTCTGTTTAATATTCCCCTGAGCCTGCTGGTCACCTCTCCCGTGAATCAACCACATACATACACACTTTTATACCCTGTCAAATGCTTCATCCCAGTTTCTTCCATAAGCCTGGACAACTCTACCTACGATTCCCTTTCACCACTGCTTATCCTATCACTCAAGCCTTCATCGAACAGAATGAACACGGTCATCACCTATTTTCTTCTCCTGTCTACATTTAAGCTGCTCCATCTCTTCATTGAACTGGAAGATTTCAGGAGTGGGCTCATGTTTGTCACATAGTTCTGATGAAGTTGCCTATATTCACTAACAACATTTTTGCAAAGTCGCTTAATTTTGAAGCCATTCTATGAACCGTTACAGCAGATAAAAATAGCTTTTTCAGACTGTTAATAAATTTTAAAGTTTAGTATTTATTCAAAACATAAAATCATGTACCGGAAAGGTACTTTTATAAGTATTTCACTGCTCAAATAATAACCATTACCTGCCTGTTGAGCCAACAGTACACTTGTTCACTTTCAGATAAGCACTTCAAAAAACAGATAATTTATCATCCAATGAGGGTATAACAATGCAACCAGACCTACTTGAAAAGCATCTGTAATTAGAAAGACTTATAGTTTGGTGAAAAACAAATGAATCTATGTTATACTTACAGAGTAAAAGTCTACTTACTGTGAGGGGAAGTATTTGTAGGTGAGAATGTCGAAGTCAAAATCACTTTATCATGGTAAGAGTTTTACATTCCTTTATCCATCTATAGTGTATGTATCTATCTCTTGTAACATTTCAGATGCAAACTTTAGTCCTCAAGGTAAAAATTTTCATCTCAACATCTTTAGTGCAGTATTAATTGTGGTTAAACTCAAGAAAGGTTCCCTTCATAGGACTTTTTACATGGATATCTCTTGAGTTTAAATGTGAAAAGTATTTCGGTTCACTTTAGTTTTGTATAATACATCTTCAATCAATAATAGGGTATAAGTAACCATGGGCAGCATGCAACACTCATTGCACAAGGTGTAACATTTAAACCGATTTTTCCTGGGTTCGAGTCTCAGTAGGAACACTATCACTCACTTGGATGCAGGTGCATTCATCTGATGAGTCTCAAACAGGACAAAACGCAAGTGCTTGATTACACTGACAGTCACTATCAATCAAGTTACTGTAACTGTACTGCTGTCCTGAGATAATAGGAAGCGTTAGCCAATAATCACCACTTATTCTTAGTTTTCTTACATCCGACTTAAACAAACGAAACTGATACTCATTTAAGAGACCTTTCAAAAATTGTTCATTAAATCTATATGCATGTTTTCCATTGGAAGATATGCTTAATAATATGATAACTCATTCACTGGACAAACTTCTATTCCTGAATTTTACAACAATGCGCTGTGATATAACCTTAGTGTTATGATGAAATATGACCAGAACAAATACGTTTAGTTTATTCACTGTTAACTAATCTTATTGGAAAGTTTGTTCCTCAAGACAAAATGCGGAATTTCACTGGGTAAAATAAATTCATCTGTTCTTTTAGGCGTAAATATGTTTTGTCTGCAGAGAAGAGAGTGCAACGGAGGCGTGCTACTGAAGCTTTATGTTCCACTAGGAACCCAAAGGAAAAATAATAATAATGTTTTGTCTTCTTCTTTTTGTGTACATTCACTACCATGGAATAATAAACAGTCCAAGTGAAAACGGCAAGACAAAGTGATAAATCTCAATATTTTAATTGATTGTTTCTTTCTATAACTGTATGCAATAGAGAAGATTTAAGCTTTAACTGAAATAAGTAACCTTCATTGACTTATTTTCAGTCGAAACAATAGTTAAATATACTACTGAACACTGTGAATAGCTGAAAAAAGTTCACGGTGTTTCATGAATTTCACTATCCGGATTAGAGTGATCTAAAAACTGCATAGCCGTTAAATCTTGTTTCAGAGCAAACTCATCAGTAAAGTACTCAAAAGAATTTATGTTATACAGGTGAACAGAGTTTTCGTTATAAGCCACTTAATCATGACATTTTTTGCGTCAGACATCAAACGTTTTGGCCTTGGTTTTCAATGGAATCCTTGTTGATATCACAATTTGACATTTGCAAAAATAATCAGTCGTAAAAAATATTTTGGTACTATATAGCTCGTAAATTATTTACAAACTGACTACACAACAGGTAATAATGGTTTTAAGAAGTCAGAAGCTACACAATTTTCTTGTTTTTTTCTTCTCATGTTTACACTGAAACAGTATATTAAGTCATAGAGATTGTTAACTTGTATACATCTTAGAACTAACCAAGAATCAATTGACACACACTAAAACAAAATATAG